TCAGAATAAACCATGCGCACCGCCAGCCCAAAGCGAACATCCGCAAACACCACGATGACGTCACATTCACCACACACACTCCCGCAAACTAGCGGACGCGTCGAGTGTAAACCATGCTCGAGTGTGTGTGAGAGTGCGTCTGAGTGTGTGTGTGTGTGTGACGTGTTTATCTCTCCGCAGTAACGTGTACCTGCAGGTGAAGTCGATCTCTAACCTGGTGTGGAAGTATCAGCGCTATCACTTCATCCTAGCGTATCATGATAAGCCCATCCTGCCGCCACCGCTGATCCTGCTGAGCCACGCCGCCTCGCTCCTCAGCTCCATCTGCAGGAAGAGGAAGAAGGACAGCAGCACCTACGGGCCCAGTAACACGCTTTACACTACTACTGCAGTCTGTGTGTGTGTGTGTGTGTGTGCGCGTGTCTGACTGTGGTGTTTCCTCAGAGCTGTTCCTGACCGAGGAGGACCAGAAGAAGCTGCATGACTTCGAGGAGCAGTGTGTGGAGACGTATTTCCATGAGAAAGACGATCAGTTCCACTCCGGCAGCGACGAGAGGATCAGACTAACATCCGACAGGTCAGAGCACACACACACACACACACACACACACACACACACACTAGCGCTGATGGATTTTGGGAAAAATGTACATCAGTTATTTTGGTGATCATTAGCTGTGTTTCCGTCCTAAAATGTGGATTAACCGGAGTACGGCATGTAAGCCGTGTGAATAAAGCAGCGTCTCCATCCATCCAGTCAAAGAGAGCAGATTCAGCACTCCCTGATGAACTGGAGCCCAACATCACCAGTAAAGACTGAGTGTACTGCGGCAGGAGCAGCTGCGTCACTCTTTTCCATATTTAATAAATGACTGTCACCTCAGAAGACGATGCCGACGCGCAGTGACCGCGCGGTGGTGTTTGAAGACGTGAGACGCTCTGGACAGTGCCGCAGCTCATTACTAATATAATAACAGTCATGCTGAGACGCTCACGGCGATTAACAATGAGCAAATCAACATGTCAGACGCTCTACAGTGTGCTCAGCCTGCTGGATTACCCATCATCACATGACCTCTCAGAACAACATCACATGACCTGTACTGCTGCACATGCTGGAGTTTGTTCAGTAAAAGTGTGTCCAGCGCAGCTTATGCTCATCGTTTCTTAAAGTCCTTCCTACTCAGTTTTCATGCTCATTTTCAACATTTATGTGTTGATTTTTTGATGCAGCTCATTTTTTATACACACATCCTGAATGCACATAAAGCAGCTGGATTAAAACTCTTGATTATTTAAAGCACTTATAAGCCTTACGAACAGAACATTTGGGAGACACAAAAATGTCGCACTGTGGCCTCACAGCAAGAAGGTCTCTGGTTTGAGTCTCGGCTGGGTCAGTTGGTGTTTCTGTGTGGAGTTTGCATGTTCTCCCGTGTTGGCGTGGGTTTCCTCCGGGTGCTCCGGTTTCCCCCACAGTCCAAACACATGCACTATAGGAGGGGTTCTCAACTGGTTTGGCCATGGGACTCACACTTTCACATGGTCATCAAGCCGCCACCCAAATTTTTAGGAACTATAATACAGTTTTAGAAATTATGATTAATTTGTATTTATTTGTTCCCAAACACAAGTAGTGATGATAAATCATAACATCATTAAGACTTACAAATAAACAATCTTTTATTGCTGACATTTAACGAAATATATCAAATTATAGAAATATTACAGAGTAAAACAAGCAGTTACTGTAAACAGTGGTTATGGTAAGGAAAGATTCAGTTACCATGAACTAAACAGTTAATAAAACATGTTGTCTGGTTTCTGAATGTCTTTTCATTCAGCAGGTTTTGTGTTAAATTGTGTGGTGCTCTCACAAGAGATGATACACTGAGGCTTTGAGTCTGTTTTGCCATCAATATATGTAAATCCATACTTCACATATTTGGGGTTGTACTTGCGCTTTAATATATTTGTTGCTTTAATTAAATGAAATTTCACATGTCAAACAGTAGGGTTGTCACGCACGCATTTCAAAATAAAAGTCAAAATAAGTTAGAAACTAAACTATTGTTGTATTTTTGACCACACACTCCGCGACCCACTGAAAATGTTCCCGCGACCACCAGTTGAGAAACACTGCGCTATAGGGGAACTGATCAACTAAACTGGCCATAGTGTATGAGTGTGTATGGGTGTTTCCCAGTACTAGGTTGCAGCTGGAAGGGCATCCGCTGTGTAAAACATATGCAGGAATAGTTGGCGGTAGGGTTGGGCCGATAGATGATGCCATCATCCATCACCGATGGCCAATAGACAACAAGATGCTGATCCGGCATAGCCGTTCCTCCACCCTGCCCTGGTCACAAACCCGCTCGGGAAAAACACACACTCAGGCCCCGTTAAAATGGCATTTTAGAATGAAAAAGATCCACATCCACACTGTTTTACCTAGCATTTCTGAACAGCCCTCCATCCACATCACATGACCACAGCCATACACACACACACACACACACACACACACACACACACACACGCGCACACACACACACACACACACACACGCACACACACACACGCACGTCTCCCTGCTGGTCCTCGAATAAAGGCTGATTTATACTTCGGCGTATGCTACGGCGCTGACGCATAGCCCTTCGCCATGGCCGCCATCGCCATACCTCTCAAAAAATGTAACTACACGTCGCAACGACAAGTAGCGCAAGCTCTGTGATTGGTCGGCTTGGTATCTGTGATGAGTCTGGGCGGGACCGAGAGCCGCACGATTGGCGCGATTACGATGGAGCGATTGTTTACAAGTGTGGAGTCCCGTGAAGGAGCTCCGGATGGAAAGTTTTGTTTTGTGTTTACCTCATAGTTAAAGTTGCTGCACGTCCGCCAGTTCCTGCCTCAACATGAGCGAGTTTGAGCCACTTGTACATCCCAGAAGTGTTCAGGAAAAACAAAACATCAGCGAAGAAACTCGACACAGAGGATTATTAACACCTCACTGCCCATTAGCGTTTCAGAAGTGTAAATGCAGACCGACAGAGACAGCAGCAGAAGTATAAATGCACAGCCACGTGCGTTGCCTGCGGCGTGGGTTACGCCGGTCACCTGACGCAGAAGTATAAACCAGGCTTAGGTCGCGCACCCTTCTCACCCCTGGATCCCGCCTGGCTCTTCAGACTCGTCGCGCGCACTGTCAAACACTCCCCCAACATGATGACGATGCCATCATCCATCGCGATGTTTCACATTAGACATAGCAGGATGCCAAATTGGTCGACAATGCCCAACCCTAGTTGGCGGTTCATTCCACTGTTGTGACCCTTGATGAATAAAGGGACGAAGCCGAAAGAAAGTGAATGAATGATAGTTAAACTATAAACAAGACAAAGACTCAATTCACAAAAGTGTGTGTGTGTGTGTGTGTGTGTGTGTGTGTGCGTGTGTGTGTGTGTGTTTCAGGGTGGAGACGATGTGTGTGCAGCTGAAGGAGGTTGGAAATAAGGTGAACTTCATCAAGCGCTCTCTGCACACGCTGGACTCTCAGATCGGGCACCTGCAGGATCTGTCTGCGCTGACGGTGGACACCCTGAAGGCTCTGACGGCCCAGCGCGCATCTGAAGCCAGCAAAGTGCACAACCAGATCACACGTGAGCTTAGCGTGTCCCGAAACCTGGCGCCCGAGGCCGTGCCGCCGTCCAAACCCGGCGCTCTGGTGCGCTGCAGCGTGGCCTTCATGCCGCCCAATAGCATGGCGGACTCTCTGTTTGGGGGCGGGGTTGAGGCTGTGCAGGGGGCGGGGCTTCCTCATGCTTCACTCACTGCAGACGGTGTGCAGACACCGCAGATGCGCCGCCGCGGACACCAGGAACATCTCTCCAGCGCTCCGGCTGCCGCCGCCAGCTTCTTCCTCAGCACGCCGCTGCCGCAGCAGCAGGACCTGCAGGCGCCGCCGGAGGAGTTCGGGGCGTTCGTGGGTGAGTGTGAGGAGTGTGTGTGTGTGAGTGTGCCGAGCGACGCAGGCGTGCCGCTGCTGGTCGTCAGTGAGGCCGAGTGTGAGGGATTCGTCAATCTGGGCTTCAGTGCGGATGAAGAGCCGTCTGACACACACACACCGCTCCCTTCTCTCCGGCCCCCGAGGAGCTGCTGCAGAAGCCCGCACACAGCCCGAGGTTTGGCTTCGGTCCACTGCTGGCTATCTGGGAAATGTGGAGCAAAACCCCCGGCCTACCTGTGACCCTTGACCCCATCTGCTTGTCCCAGTGTGTGTGTGTGTGTGTTCAGGCCCTGATATACTGCTCAGTCTTGTCATTTTAGACCGCTCTGAGAGTGCGCTGTGGTCAGTTTGACAGAAAAGAGAAATCTCCAGGTCAGGGAGTATCAGACAGTTTGCTCTGTCATGTTCAGCAGCCCCTGTTCTGCATCATAACAGGTCATGATTTGGTTTTGGGGGTCTCCAACACCAGGCTGATGTACATGTAGAGTGAAGAACACTTCTGTTTTCATGTAATCTGCATGTGATCTGACCTGATCATGCCAGTGATCCAGTATGCCTGAACCTCTCCATCATCGTAACGCTGATCTGCGGTGGTTGCTCTGAGTTTTCCAGATCAATGTTTGGTCCAGCTGTCAGGAAGATTCTGTTCAGTTTAACTCGTGTTTATTATATAGCGCTTTTACAGTGTAGATTGTGTCAAAGGAAACGGCTGAAGATCCTAATGTACACCGAGTCTGTCGAAGCTCTTGATTTTGGTGAGGAACAGCAGTCTTCTGCTCAGTGTTCTTCTCCGTTTCCCTCACCTAAAGCTGCGGCACACACCGCATGGAGGATCACGGTTAACACATAACAGGGGCTCTTAAACATGACCTCCCGCTTATCAAAATATCTCTTAAGTCTTAATTATATAAAGTCTTCTCCGTCATCTTTAATGCAGGACTGTAGATCAGTGGTGCTCATCCCTGCTCCTGGAGATCTACCTGGAGTTCAGCTCCAGCCCTGATCAAACACACCTGAACCGTTAAATGAGGACCTGAACCGCGCTGATCATTACAGACAGGTGTGATATGGGTGCAACTGAAATCTGCAGGAAGATTTGGATTCCAGGAATGCAGAGATTGGACTTGTGTTCTTGTGGAGATCACTGCTGCCAGGTCAGTGCAGAAGAACAAACTCAGGAGAGCGAGAGAACAGAGAGCGTCCTCTGAGGAATGAGATGCTGATGGGCACATGATCTTCACACATTATTAATGGAAAATTATTTAAGCATTACAGCATTCATACAACAATTTATTATCTTTTTTATTCGCCCCCTGTTTATTTTTCCCTTATTTCTGTTTATCTGAGAGCAGATTTCTCCAGCACATTTCTAATCATAACAGTGTTAATAACTCATCTCTAATAACTGATTTATTTTCTCTTTGTCATGATGACAGTAAATAATATTAGACTAGATATTCTTCAAGACACTTCTATACAGCTTAAAGTGACATGTAAAGGCTTCACTAGGGTAATTAGGGTAACGAGGCAGGTTAGGGGAATTAGGCAAGTTATTCTATGATGATGGTTTGTTCTGGTGACTATCAGAAACAAATATAGCTTAAAGTATAATAATACAAATAAAGTAAAATAATATTGACCTTAAAATGGTGTTTAAACAATTAAAAGCTGCTTTTATTCTAGCCGAAATAAAACAAATCAGACTTTCTCCAGAAGAACAGATATTATCAGACATACTGTAAACATTTCCTGAATCTGTTCAACATCATCTGGATAATATTTAAAACAGAAGAAAACATTTATGGGGGTGAATAATTCTGACTTCTGCTGTATATAACATGCACAAAACTCTTACAGATATAATTTGCACAATAAAAAAGCAGATTTCAAGACGAATTTAGCAAATAGTTCATGCCTTCATCAAGATCTTCATGCTGATGTTTATATTCACCGTCTCCTTTAGGGAAACTCCTGAGGTAAATCAGTGATCTCTCTGAGCTATAATAATAAATCTGTATTAAATGCTGCGCTTCATACCTCTTTTATTCATTCGCAACGACTTCCGGCTCTTCTTGAGCGAGTTTTGCACTCAAGTCTGCATCGGTGCATCCTCAATATCAAGAACACATGCGGCGGGGAGTTTTAGGTGTCCTCCGTTCTTGTGGACTTGAGTTTTGGACCTGATCTATGATGGTCGATGATGATGATGATGATGATGCTACGCGAGCACTGAAGAACACATATTGAGAGTCAGCCTGTATCTCCAGGAGCAGGGTTGAGCACTCCTACTCTAAATGATGAAGAGAAACCTTTATAAATGCAAATATAATCTTATTTCACATTAACAATGCAGATGGGAGGAATCTGAACACTGTATGAGTATCTGCCCCAATTAATGAAGTCCAGCTTCCTTAGTTTAGCGTTAAATAACGCCGCTGTTTTCCTCTTCATTTTAGGTCGGGAATATTCGTCGGTGTAATCAGTGCTGTTTGTGTGAACCCTGCTGCTCAGGGCTGTATTACACATGAGAAATGGATTCTGATTGGTGCTGCTGTATTTGCAGTATATCAGGGCCTGTGAGATGGGTGACCTTTAACCTCTGTCAGTGTTTGATCACAGCCGGTGCCTTATACTAAACACCCCCGCGGGACAGAATAAAGGGGTGTGTGTGTGTGTGTGTGTGTGTGTGTGTGTGTGTGTGTGTGTGTGTGTACATGTGTGGTGGACTGAACTAACCTGGGCTGGTGCTGGTCAGGGGTTTAAAGGGACAGTTCACCCTAAAATGAATACTCAGTCATTATTTACTCGCCCTTTACTTGAGTTTCTTTACTGTTAAACACAAAAGAAGATGTTTTGAAGAATGTTGGAAACCAGAGGGAAAAGGTTTAAAAGGGATAGTTCACCCAAAAAAGAAAAATCCGACATCATTTACTCTGGTTCTAAACCTGTGTCTTTACTCTGTTGAACACAGAAGAAGATATTTTGAAGAATGTTGGAAACCGGTCACCATTGACTCCCATAGAGGTAATTTTGCCTGCTATAGATGGATGTCAGTGGTTACAGGTTTTCAGCATTCTTCAAAACATCTTCCAACATAAATGTCGATGACCACTAGAGGGAGAGTGAATAATGAGGGATGTGTGCGTGAACTGACCCTAAACCACTGTCTCTCTTTCTTCAAAGGTCACAAGGATGAGCCTGAGGGTCAAAGGTCAATCCCTAAGGAGAGCGCTGTCAGCAGTCCATCCAGAAAGACCCGCGATGTGGTCAGTGTAGATCCAGAGTTCTGGATGTCCTGTGTGTGTTCTCCGCAGTGCTGACCTGTGTGTGTGTGTGTGTGTGTGTGTGTGTGTGTGCGCACGCTCCTGCAGGGTAACATGCGGACGGTGAACTCTTACGCCGGCTTCACAGAGTTGGACAGAAACCCTTCGCTCCTGCATCCAGAGTCCAGTGAGTGTAAACCTTGAGCAACACCAGTGAATGCTGTAAACATTAACTGATGAGCACACACACACACACACACACACACACACACACACACACACACACACACACATCTGAAGAGCATCTCACACACTGATGGAGTCACTCTCTGTGTTTGTGTGCTTGTGCATGTTTGTCTATCTGTGCGCGTGTGTGTGTGTGTGTGTGTGTGTGTGTGCGCGTGTGTGTGTGTGTGTGCGTGTGTGTGTGTGTGCGCGTGTGTGTGCGCGTGTGTGTGCGCGTGTGTGCGTGCGTGCGTGCGTGCGTGCGTGCGTGCGTGCGTGCGTGCGTGCGTGCGTGCGTGCGTGCGTGCGTGCGTGCGTGCGTGTGTGTGTGTGTGTGTGTGTGTGTGTGTGTGTGTGTGTTTCAGCACTCAGTAAGCAGGAGAGGACGCGCGTGTCGCTGGAGGACGTCTCTCGATATGAGGATCTGCTGCTGGTCAGTCAAACACACGTTCAGAATGTTTAGTGTGGTGTGAGCTGTGTGTGAACGGGTTTCCCTCAGGGACGGCTGCTAGATGACAGATAGAGCTGCTGTGTGTGTGTGTGAGTGTGTGTGAGTTTCTGACTCTAGATTGAAGACATCATCCTGTGTGTTCAGAGATCTGACAGTGATGCTGATGAGTGTGTGTTTAAAAGTTCTCAAATCAAGAAGCGTTTTCTAGACAAGCAAAATATGTTGTCTTGTTTTAAGAAATAATCTGCCAAAATAAAGTGAGTCTTTCCTTAAATCAAGCTAAATAATCTGTCAATGGGGTCAGCAAAATAATCTTGCTTTTCCTTTTGACGTAAGATTGTTTTGCTGACCCCATTGACAGATTATTTAGCTTGATTTAAGGAAAAATTCACTACATTTTGGTTTATTATTTCTTAAAACAAGACAACATATTTTGCTTGTGTAGAAAATGCTTCTTGATTTGAGAACTTTTAGATATTTGGTCTAGAAACAAGACACAAAATCAAAGTAAGAAAAGCATTTTTTGCTGTGTAAAACGTGTTTATTATACATTACTGTAGTTTTTCCTCGTGTGGATTTCTCCCAGACATAACAGATGAAAACATACGGAAGTGAACACACAGTCTCCATTATTAACGTGTGTTTATAAGAGGGAAGAGCTCCACGATAATAACCGCCTAGTTTTGGGTCTGTTTCTGTGTGGTTCAGTGGATGAGTTTATCATCAGCAGACATCTCGAGGTGCACGTTACGGTTGTTTATTCTGCGGAAACGCTATAAAGATTATTTCAAAATAAGATGGAGATCTCATTATTATATCATATTAGATTATTATATTCTCCTGGATGTTGTATATATGTGTGCTGGTGTTTGGATCTGATGACTATATTACACATTAACACACACATAGGCCTGTATATAATCTGCACTGGTGCTGTCAGACTAATTATCCCATTTTAAAAGTTTGCACATGTGGATGTATTGAATAAATGTTTATTAAATGCCACATTTAGTCCATTTTCAGCCAGTTTCTTGAACTTTCTCCCCTTTATGAGCAAACACTTTTGGATTTCTGTATAAGCTGTTGGATTTAAACAATTATAAACATAAAACAGAAACATTCGGATGTTCTGACAGCGATTCCTATGTAGAAGAACCACTTCCTCCTTCATCTGAGTCTTAGCATGTGAAAACAACATGTGTGAGGACTGGGCTGTAGATGCGCCCTCTGCAGGACAGAAGCAGCCTCTCAGTTATAGAAATACACTTGAGCTGGTGTTTAATGAGCAAACAGTACAGATATTACACTCATCAACATTAGCTGAGAAGCTCACAGTGTCAGACTGGATCATCAGTAGGCCCACACGCAGATGTTCAGCCCGTCATCAATCCTGTTTATTTACTGGAGTAAATGTGTGTAGATCTATATTTATTCAGTTTTAAATTAATTTCAGTAATATTATCGACTAATGTGAAAATGTTGATCTATTATTTTGTACAATGCCGTCATGTTTTCTGTCTTCCAGTCGAGATATTATATGAGACTTGCTCTGTTTACCAAATAAAGTGGATCTGCGTTGTAAACATTAAACGTAATCGAGAGGTATTTGTTTTATTTCATACATTAGGTTTTTAGTTATGAGACTTTCGCATAAATCCGCAGATTTTCAACAATATTCTGCGCAGAATTGGCAGAAAATGTCTGCAGATTCCTGCTTGTCATCAATCTGGCAACCGGCATGAGTAAACTCTGCAGTATTTTGGATATGTGGGTCAATCCTTCACACTGCACCTGTAGCAGCGAGCCACACATTCACCTGTGAGCTATAAAGACTGATGAAGCCTTCAGTGTGACGGTATTGTATAACCGTTATCATCAGACACGCATCATAACTGGGTTTATCTTCCATCCGCAGGGGAAGTCCGCTCAGTCCAGCAAGCTGTGAGTAGAGCCGCTTGTGTTATGATCAGTTTGATCATGTGAGATTGATTATTGAGTGATTGTGCTGTGTTTCTCTGCTGTTCAGGAGTCCAGGAGACGACGCCTCTAACAGTGAGTGTGTTTTCATCATCTTCATCTTCATCATCATCATCATCCAGGCTGTACATGTAGACCTGCTCTGTGCTGAACGCAGTGTAACAGAGGAGAAACAGCAGTGTTCTGCATTATATTTACTAATGTTCAACCATTAATCCCCATTATTAACTGCATACAGAATAACAGCTCGCACATATTTTACATATATTTAAATATGTGTGTGTGTGTGTGTGTGTGTGTTATATATTCTAATGTCATCAGTACTGTTGTGTTCAGGCTGAGATCATGTCTAAAATACAACTGATCATGACTGAACCTGCCTATTCTGACGCGCACTCTCATTTTCTCACTCTGTGTGTGTGTGTGTGTGTGTGTGTGTTTCCTCTACAGCAGGTCTGTACGCTGGTCGTCACACACACCTGGGTGCGCGTAAGGACTGTAAGTGTCTGCCCCCTGCTGGCCTGCTCCAGCGCTGCACTCATTACTGTAGTGTGTCTGTCAGTAGTGTACTCCAGTGTCCTCAAAGAGACGTGTGTTATGGGGACGCGCTGCTGCAGACACACACACACACACACACACACACACACACACTGACACGGATACAGAGGAATTCATATATGGATTTAACCCTCACTTCAGGACTTATTCTCTAACACTCTTGTGCATTGTGTTGCTTATGTTCACTTGTTGTTGTTGTTGTTGTGTGTGTGTGTGTGTGTGTGTAGCGATCGGTTCTCCATTCAAGCCCATGGAGAGTTATCAGTACTCGGGTGAGTGTTTGTGTGGTTCCTCATGGTAATCTCAGTGTCCTGGAAGCAGAAATATGTCCTGGTTTAAACCCGACCCACAATGCATCAGTCACACACACACACGCGCGCTGTAATGTGTGTGAACAGTCATTATTGTGGAAAGCGCTGTACAGAGATGAATGTGAGCTGAAGGTGTGTGGTTTGGGTTTAAATCAGGCGTGTGGCAGCAGCTCCTGTGATGTGTACTGACATCAGTGTGTGTGTGTGTGTGTGTGTGTGTGTGTTAGCGGTGGAGCGTAATAACCTGATGCGGTTGTCTCAGAGCATCCCCTTCACCCCGGTGCCCCCTAGAGGTAAGACACACTCCTGCCCTCCTGTCTCTCGTTCCCATCATGCTTTGCTGCTGTAGTTGTGGGCGGCTCAATAGGGTTGAGGTCAGGGCTGGGGTTGTCCCCTACAGCAGAGGGAGATACCGCAGGAAATGTTGGAGAGTGCAGCTGGGCCTGACTCAGCCTGTGTGTTGAGCTCATCCTGCAGCGCCCAGCTGAAGACCTGTATAGACCCCGCCCACAACTACAGAGAGCTGCTGGTACTGTGTGCTCACGCGTGTGTGTGTGCGCATGCGTGAGTCTGTGCGTGCGTGCGTATGTGTGAGTGAGTGAGTGAGTGAGTCTGTACGTGTGTGTGTGTGTGTGTGTGTGTGTGTGTGTGTGTGTGTGTGTGTATGCTAGTCTATCTGTCTGTGTGTCTGAGTGTGTGCGCGGGTCTGTGTGTGTGTGTGTATGCTAGTTTATGTGTGCACACAAGTCTGTGTGTTTGTGTGGGTGCCCATGCATGTGTGTGTTTATGCAAGTGCGGTTGTGTGTGTGAGTGTATGTGTGTGCGCAAGTCTGTGTGTGTTTGTGTGCAAGTATTTGTATTCGTGTGTGCATGCGTGTGTGTGTGTGTATGCTTGTCTGTCTTTGTGTGCATGCATGCTGCATGTGTGTGTGTGACTCTGCTGTGGTGTGTGTGTGTTCTGCAGGTGAGCTGGTGACTGTGTATCCTCTAGAGGAGTGTGTGTGTGTGTGACTCCTGTGGTGTGTGTGAGACTCCGCTGTGGTGTGTGTGTGTGTGTGTGTGTGTGTGTTCTGCAGGTGAGCCGGTTAGCGTGTATCGTCTAGAGGAGTGTGTGTGTGTGTGTGAGAGACTCCGCTGTGGTGTGTGTGTGAGACTCCGCTGTGGTGTGTGTGTGTGTGTGACTCCGCTTTGGTGTGTGTGTGTGTGTGTTCTGCAGGTGAGCCGGTGAGTGTGTATCGTCTGGAGGAGAGTGTGTGTGTGTGTGTGTGTGTGTGTGTGACTCTGCTGTGTTGTGTGTTCTGCAGGTGAGCCGGTGAGTGTGTATCGGCTAGAGGAGAGTGTGTGTGTGTGTGTGTGTGACTCCGCTGTGGTGTGTGTGTGTTCTGCAGGTGAGCCGGTGAGTGTGTATCGTCTGGAGGAGAGTGTGTGTGTGTGTGTGACTCCGCTGTGGTGTGTGTGTGTGTGACTCTGCTGTGGTGTGAGTGTGTTCTGCAGGTGAGCCGGTGAGTGTGTATCGTCTGGAGGAGAGTGTATGTGTGTGTATGACTCCGCTGTGGTGTGTGTGTGTGTGTGTGACTCTGCTGTGGTGTGTGTGTGTTCTGCAGGTGAGCCGGTGAGTGTGTATCGTCTGGAGGAGAGCTCCCCCGGCAGTATCAATAACAGCATGTCGTCGTGGGCTCAGCGCGGGCTCTGTGCGAAGATCGAGTTCCTCAGTAAGGAGGAGATGGGCGGGGGGCTGCGGCGCGCGCTCAAGGTGCTCTGCACGTGGTCCGAGTACGACATCCTGAAGCCCGGACACCTGTACATCGTCAAGTCCTTCCTGCCCGAGGTGGTCAACACCTGGCAGACCATCTACAGGGAGGAGACGGTGCTGCACCTCTGCCTCAGGGTACACACACACACACACACACACACACACACACACACACACACATTCACACTCGCACACACACTGCCTTACAAAAATGAATTAAACATTGTAATAATGAACTTGTGTGTGTGTGTGTGTGTGTGTGTGTGTGTGTGTGTGTGTGTGTGTGTGTGTGTGTGTGTGTGTGTGTGTGTGTGTGTGTGTGTGTGTGTGTGTGTGTGTGTGTGTGTGTGTGTGTGTGTGTGTGAGCAGGAAATTCAGCAGCAGAGAGCAGCTCAGAAACTCACGTTTGCCTTCAATCAGATCCGACCCAAAACCATCCCGTACTCGCCCAGGTACTGAATACCAGCGCTTCATGAACATCACACACAACCCAACATACGCTTTAACACACACACACACACACACACTGATGCGAGGGTGTGTTCACTGCCAGCGTTCATCCACTAATTCTCCTTCAGCTTAGTTCCTTTATTCATCAGGGGTCACCACAGCGGAATGAACCGCCAACTATTCTAGTATATGTTTTACACAATGGATGCCCTTCCAGCTGCAACCCAGCTCTGGGAAACACCCATACACATTCATTCACTCATACACTACGGCCAGTGTAGTTGATCAGTTCCCCTATAGCGCATGTGTTTGGGAAACCGGAGCACCCGGAGGAAACCCACACCAACACGGGCAGAACATGCGATCGTGCTACCCACTGCGCCATCATGACACCCTCCTGCCAGTGCTTTTACAGGTTTATTGCAGTTCAGCATTTTAAATGAGGTGCTGTCCTGATACTCTACATGTGAGCTGTAGTTTAGTCTTGGTTTCCTGAACTCTCCTGGTTCTCCGCTGTGGGCTGCAGGTTCCTGGAGGTCTTCCTGCTGTACTGTCATTCTGCCGGTCAGTGGTTCGCCATCGAGGAGTGCATCACTGGAGATTTCCGCAAGTTTAACAACAACAACGGAGATGAAATAGTGCCGACCAACCTTCTGGAGGAAACCATGCTGGCCTTCAGCCACTGGACGTATGAATACACACGAGGAGAGCTGCTGGTGCTGGACCTGCAGGGTTTGTGTCTAAACACACACGTCAGCAGGTTACACATATGGGGTAATGCACATCCAGCGCTGCTCGCGGAGTCTTACCGTATTAAAAGATGATGAATCAATTAATAGAGATTTGAGAGCCGCACCGTCTCAAATGAGTGTCACTTTAACTATCAGTCTACTGTACAATGAGTTTGATCTGCTAATGTTGGGGTGCTGCGTTGTTTTTGAACACTAATCATCTAAAACTAGACTGGACACCACGCTGCCAAGGCAACACTGCAGTTCTGTAGGCGCCCCCTGCTGGATTAGCGTTTCTATTCAGCTTATGAATTATGTTTTAGTTTCATGTTTCGTACAGTTAGTATTTAGTAAATATACTGTTAGTTAAAGTGTTGCCAATGTTACCTACAGTGGTGGTGGGGTCTGAATGTATTAAAGGGCACATAGGTCACCCCTTTTTTCAGATTAAAATAAGTATTTTGTGTCCCCAGAATGTGTTTGTAAAGTTTCAGCTCGAAACACCCGTCAGAGTATTTATTATATCTGTCTGAAGTGTCTGTATTATAGCTGGGAAAAGGTTGTTGCTGTTTTTTTGCACTGGGCCTTTAAGACTAGTCATCCCCGCACACCGTTCCCACATGCCTGTCAGCAACATGCCTCAATCACCGCCCTCGGCTGCCTCAGGAAGCAGATCTCACGTAACGTTTGTGAGAAATACTTCAGTGAGAACTTTACCATCAGTATCTGATGCGTTTTTTGTGGAGTTACAACAATGAGTTTACGCACACACATAGCGCAGACACAAACACACACACATACAAAGCATAGACACACACACACACACACACATAGCGCAGACACACACACACACACACACACACACACACATACAAAGCATAGACACACACACACACACACACACACATACAAAGCATAGACACACACACACACACACACATAGTGCAGACAGACACACACACACACATACAAAGCATAGACACACACACACACACAGTGCAGACAGACACACACACACTCACACATAGCGTAGACACACACACACACACACACACAGAGAGAGACACGCGGCTGTGCTGATGAAGTGAATGGCTGTACTTCATTACACACGTGCACACGTTTTAAAACATGTTAAACTCTCAAACTCACTCTTGATCACGTCTGATGATGATTCTAGCAAACTGAACAGACCTTTTATTGCTTTGCGCTCGTCCTGTCTTATTGATATGATTATATGCATTACTAGAGTACTTATTATCAATAATGATATGACTTAATGTCAGTCAATATTGGTGGGCGGGGGGATATAATATATAATATTGGTCAGGTTGCGGTCGATCTGAAAACCGCTCCATTTGGTCCACCATTTTTATGTTGTTAAATTTGAAAAGAAAAGGACTGTGTGTGTTTATTTCACCCCAACATGACAGTATATACACTATACTTACACACACGTCTGTCCAAACAGCTTGAAAAGTAGATTTTCACCATAGGTGCCCTTTAAATGTCACTCTCTGACTCCTGTATATACCCTGTTATTGGAGAATAAAGCCTGACAGGTTTATCAGTTGAAGACTGAAGGGTTTATTCTGTGATAAGCACCAGCTGGATGTGCATTATTCTGATTATTACATCCCTATTAGACACAAAACCTCGTAATCATTGACTGATGCTTTATTAAATGTAAAGCTTGCAGACAGAAACAGCTGAATGCAGCTACTCTAACATCCTTAAAGGGTTAGTTCACCCATTAATGAACATTCTGTGATCGTTTACTCATACTTTACTCCTTTCATTTATGCGTTTCTTTGTTCTGTTGAACCCAAAAGAAGATATTTTGAAGAATGCTGGAAATCTACAGTATTTGATTTATTTCTACTCTGTAAGTCAGTGGTTACCAGTGGTTTTCCAGAGTTCTTTTAAATATATTCTTTTGTGTTCGAGAGAAAGAAACTCCTAGAGGTTTTGAATCACTTGAGCAGAGTAAATAATGGGTAAATTTACATTTGAGTGTGAACTGTCCCTTTAATGTTATTCAGTCACCAGATGGCGCCAAACGCCCAAGAACAGCAGAGTGACAGCCACGTATTAAAGCTGAACACCATTATTCTTAATTAAATGATTAATCCCTTGAAGCGTTGAGCTTAAAATCAAATCCGTTTATAACATTGTCTGATCTCCGTCTGTCTGTCTTTAGGTGTGGGTGAGATTCTGACCGATCCGTCGGTCATCAAGAGCGGAGAGAAAGGGTGAGTTTTCCCAACACTAGAAAATAAATCAAACGTAACCTGTTTAAAAGTCATTACTATTCCTATGATCTAGTCTAACAATGCACTCGATTATTTCTCTCTGTGTTATTGACTGCCACAGGTCTTACGATATGATCTTTGGACCTGCAAACCTCGGAGACGACGCCATTCGAAACTTCCGTGCCAAACATCACTGCAACTCCTGCTGCCGAAAACTCAAACTTCCAGGTGAGAGTCCTGAGATTGCAGAGCTCCAACACACCAACAACAGTAGCTAGCATGATTAAATGTCATATATTAGCAAACAAAACCCAGGTGGACTGAAAGAGATTAAAAACATTGACAGCCAATCAGAATACACGTCTCTTTAAAGAGCATTTAAAGCGTCAGAGGACAAAACTCAGCATGAATTTAATAATACGATGTTATAAACGGAAGTTTATCGATCACAATTAAATGTTTTCATAACATTTTTCAACAATCGCTTTTCTCTGGCAGTGAGCCGAATGGACGTGCAAACTCACTCCGTGACATTAGATTGCGCTTATTAAACGAATCGCTCAATATAATCGTCCTAGTTTGCTAAAGCCTTGAGTGTGTGTAGCATTTCTTAAGTGTGTTTCTGTTGACAGATCTGAAACGGAACGACTACACTCCTGATAAGCTGACCCTTCAGCATGACCCCTCCGAGGGCCCGTCCCACTCTCCGCCTGCAGGGGCCGCCACTAAAGAACTGCGTCCCTCCATGCGCTTAATGCTGTGAGCCGCGCACACACACACCTGCAGGACTCGCACTGTGCCGCCGAGAATCACGTGATGACAAACACAAAGTGCACGTTTGCGTGTTTGGTGTGTGCGTGTTTTATACAAGAATGCGTCGCCTCTGAACAAATGAAATTTAATAAGTCACATTTTATCCTGTACATTTCATGACAGGGATTATCAGCTTTTAAAAGTATTTTTTTTAAACATTTCTATGTCTGTATGAAATTATAAAGTGGTTAATAACTGGTACAATATCACTGTATAAAGTCAAATATTTATTCTAAACGACAAGTTGCCTTGTATAAAAGAAGAGCAATTTTACGTGATGTCTGTCACCTTTTTGCAGAGGACACTTGCTCATTATATATCTATTATCAGATTTTGTACAGAGCTGTATGCCAACAGAATGTTTTTATGTACAGAGAGCCACGTGTGGAGAGCTGTATCAATGCATTTATGTTTGAATCTTGTTTAGATTATGGGCAGATTGCAATGCAAACGACAGCGCAGTGTGTGTGATTTCATTGTGCTGACCACTGAAACCGGGCCACACCATCACAACTCAACTTTATAATGTTACAGCGGTACTTTTGTCATTCGTTGTCGTTGGAGAATCGTGCGAGACTGTTAATCTAGTGTATCTCATAGATACATGTATCTGGCACGGTTCTGTCAGCTCAAACATGAGAATATGCTGGGGATATAAAGGATCTGTAAACATTTTTTACTGTATATTTAATAAAACACTGAAAAAGTCACCTACAGCTCGTGTGTGTGTGTGTGTGTGTGTGTGTGTGTGTGTGTGTGTGTGTGTGTGTGTGTGTGTGTGTGTGTGTGTGTGTGTGTGTGTGTGTGTGTGTGTGTGTGTGTGTGTGTGTGTGTGTGTGTGTGTGTGTGTGTTGAACTGTTTTCATTACATCATTGGTGAACAGTAGTTAAGCTGTTTTATTGACGGTCACAAAGTTCATCATATCCAGTATAAAACACTCATGTATTCAGCCTCTTCACTTCTGTAACTGTAGTTTCACCAGAGCCTGATAACTGATTGATTATACTAGTGTTTTACTCACTGAGGGGTAAAAATGACTACAGGTGTGGTGTGGACGCTGCTGTTTACTCGATTAAAATAATTATTGTAAGTTAAGAGTTTGTTATTATTACATCTTTGGTGTGAATGAAAATATCTTTATATTTTGTGATCAATTTCTTACTAAAAAACTCCCGAGAAAGCTTTCCCAGCTAACATAAGACCAGCGGGCCACTGGCGGCCCACCGGCGGCAAAGTTGGCGGTCCACCGGCGGGCGCCGCCCGCGGTCCACCGTCAATTTGCTCATCGTTATTCCAGCGGCCCACCAGCGGCTGCCGCCGCTTTTCCGACGGTGGTCCGCCATCGCACCGCTGGTTTTAAATAAGTGTCTGCTGGCGGCCCACGGTCGGTCCACATGTCATTTTTAAATATTATATTAGCCTTTACAATTGTATTCAATATAAATATGTCCAATAATGAAATCAAGTACAAAATACTTAATCATTAAAACATTTATTTATAATACTGCATAACGAACATACATTAAACCCTTAGATTATAATGAAATGTTTCAAAAACACATACGTTAACAAATATAACAAAATAAATATAAAATACATATAAAATACATACAAATATATTATAACAACATACATACAACAGTTACATTTTACAGTAGTTTTATAAGTAATGTAAATGGTTTAAATGTGAACTAATATGAACAATACCTGTACAGCATAATTTATGTACAGCATTTACTAATGCATTAATAAAATCAGTCATGCTTGTTAACATTAGTTAATACATTGCGAGTTAACATGAATAAACAATTAACAACTTTTTACCATTCACCAACATTAGCAAAGATGAATAAATACTGTAGTAAATGTATTGTTTATTATGTTAGTAAATACATTAACGAATACATACAACCTTATTGTAAAGTGGTAGCTATTCAACAATGAGTTTTCTATAATAAAGACAGACTTTGAGACTTCTCATTATAAAAATAAACTATTAAAACATTATAAATAAATTTGTATTATTTATATTTTAACATTATTATAATTATTTATTATAATATTATAATAAATTATAACATTCTTATGACATTTAACATTATTATAAATAACATAAAAATAAATTACATTGTGAATAAATATTAACATACATATTACAATAAATCTAAACGTGCATTATTATTACAAAATCAAACTAAAACATCTGGAGGTTATTAATAACTACACTGGGGCAGCACAGTGGCTCAGACTGTCACCTCACAGCAAAAAGGTTGCTGGTATGAGTCCCGGCTGGGTCCGCTGGCATTTCTGTGTGGAGTTTGCATGTTCTCCCTGTTTTGGTGTGGGTTTCCACCACAGTCCAAACACTTGTGCTATAGGTGAATTTGAACATAGTGTAGAAGTGTCTGTGAATACGAGAGTGTATGGGTGTTTCACAGTGCTGGGTTGCAGCTGGAAGGCCATCCGCTGTGTAAAACATATGCCAAAGTAATATCCAGTTCCTTACGCTGTGGTGACCTCTGATATTAAGCTGAAGGAAAATGCAGGTTCTTTTGTCTGCCCCCTCATGATTAGCAGATCCTAATAAAAATGTCTTTGAGGCTCCCTTCCGCTGTCTCTCTTGTAGCAGGCTTCTTTCTTATCCTGAAATAACAGAATCATCAGTCATTATTTTTGTCCATCATCAGTAGGTCATTATGGACATTAATGTTTGTATTTTTTATTGTCTTTTTATTGGACATCAAGACTGCATTAATTTGATCGATAACATTAATTTACAGTTTAAAAGTAGCACTGAAATATTTTTACAGTTTAAAATAATGATTTTTAATTTCAATGCATTTTAAAATATATTTGGTAACACTTTATTTTGATGGTCCATTTGAGTATTAATAGACTGTCTGCTTAAAATCTGTTGATTCTGCTCCTTTAACAGACATTTAACTGACTATAAGAAACTTACCAAGTACATGTCAACTTACACCAATCCTAACCGCAACCCTAACAGTCTACTTATAATCTAATGAGAATTAGTTGGCATGTAGATGCAATGCAGCTTAAATTCAACAAACAGACCATCAAAATAAAATGTGACCATGTATTTTATTAGTGTGAGGTCAAAGCTGATTTGTTAGCACCATTACTCCAGTGTCAGATGACCCTTCAGAAATCATTCTAATAGGCTAATTAGTTTGATGCAGTTGATATTAATATTAACATTAATAAAATTAATCATTGGGAATACTTTTAAGTGACACTATAAAATTACTTACCTTAAATGAAGTCTGGCAAGGAAAAAACAAAGTGGTAGAGTGAGTGGAGGACGATCCAAAATCTAGAAAAAAGTAATAAAAATATATATATATATTACTAACACATTTTAAGAAATGGATACTTGTATTAAACAAGGGTGCATAAAACTGATCAGAAGAGAGTTAAGATTTCTGATTTAAATACTTTTCAATTTAAACTTTCTATTCAACAATGAATCCTGAAATAACAAAACATGATAAAAATAAGAAATCTTGCTTGATCAGCAGCAAATTATGAATACAATATTACATTTTGAACTGGAGCACTGACGCTGTAAATTCTGCTTTGAGAAAAGCAATGTAAAAAATTGTTTAAAACCACTCACTTATGTTTGGATGTCAAAACTTTAAAATAACTGCAATCAAGACATGTATCAGATGCATGATAATGTAGGGATTTCTTATAAAAATGCACATTAATCTATTTAACAGTTAATTATAGTTTTACCTGTGTTTCCTCCAGCTCTGTGATTAGCTCCCTTCATCTTGGCTCTTCTCTTCTGTTGTAGGGGTAATTTTGTCACTCCTGAAACCACAGAGCACTCTTTAAAATGAATATTAGTTTACATTACTGTGAAATATCAAAGTAACACATATGTACTAACTTTAACATTTTAATTCGCTCTTGTTGACAGTACAGTGCTTATTTTAGGCTAAATAAAGTAGACTACCTCCAATAAAACATTGTCAAACTTCTCATCTACACATAAAATGTAATTAAAAGCCAACACTTTTATAAACAATAGCTAACTTAGCCTAATGCTAACGTTACCTCTGCTAAGACTCTAACGGACTTTTTCCAAAGACACAACAGTCTCTATAAAAAACATGTTCAACAGAAATATGTCAATTACCAGTAAGAAAAGTGTCAGAAACAGTTATATGTAACATTTGCGTGATTTTAGCGACTAAACTTACCTGAAATTAGTGAAAACTGCCGCATGAGAAAAGTGCTGTTGACGGTCAGGTGTCGTGTCGTTGCTCCGTTTCCATGACAACGCTCTCTGCTGCAGTGCTTGAATGGGGCTCGGTAATGGACACTTTAAAGTCACGCAGTATTTACATAAACATTTAAACAATTCATAAACATATTAAATAATGACATTTAATATTAAATCTTGATTTTTAAACTTAATTTTGTTTTGTTTTTTAATAATAACCTGTTATATTTAAAACCTCTTGTAGTTTTATATACTAAACTTTGCTTTTATTAATAACTATATTTTTATTTAGTGCCTCATTCGTTTTAAATGTAAAAAGTGTTAAACAAAAGTACTTATATCAGGTACAGAACAGCCAACAACATTAAAAACATCACCGGGTGGGCCATCGGTTAGCCACTGGTGTCCCGACGGCGGTCCACCCACGGTAATCCGCTGGCGGCGTGCCACCCAAAAAACGCCGGTGGGCCGATATAACTTTTAGAATGGGCGGCTTCCCGCTGGTGAGCCGACGGCGGTCCGCCCGTATCAAGCCGCTGAATTTGTGCCGACCAAAAAACGCCGACGGTCCGCCAACTCATTGTTTGCTGGGTTTACTGTGCTACTGACGAGAATGAGAATAACAAACAAATGCAGCAAAAGCGCGCCAATAATGCCTCACGTCATCCTAGCAACCGCAGAGCGCGCGAAAAGCAAACGGTCTGTTAAGTACCACAGCGGTCATTTTTTAATTCTTTACGGCTTTGCTTATAAAATGTTGTATTAAAGTCGACGATTTTAACTTTGGGTCTGCGTGAGGAGTGTCTGCGTCACGGTAAAAGTCAAGCTCCAGTGAACCCGCCGAACAACTGCAATTCCCTCAGATAATTTTGAAGTGTGTGAGTAATGGGAGTCCGCCATGATGCACACCAGCGACGGACTCTCCCTCCAGGTCTACCAACGGAGTCATCATCGGCTCGGCTGTCCGGAGAAACGTGAGTGTTTTGGAGAGATTTAGCTAAATTGTGCCTATTGTGAATAGAAATGAGGCTGATTGAGTGAGTTAACTTCATTAGGGTTCATACTAGAGTTGCTCTTATGATCTAACGTTAATTGTGAATAAATGTGGGTGATGCTGTAACTGCAGGTAACTTACATTTGGTGGGCAAAGTCATCTTTTTTCTTAGAAATGGTTGGATTTTGTATTATTTATGAAATGTGGTACTCATTTTTGTTGACCAGTTAACATGTCATTATATTTTTCTGTAAAGTGTCTAATATTGCCAGAAATCTTTATGTCTGAAGTAGTGTATTTCTCCACCACGTGTCATTGTGTAATCAATTTATTTTTATAAACATTTTTTTTTGTTTTGCTAATATTTATTTATTTTCTGTGTTTATAAAAGTTCTAAATTCAGGTCTATAGCCAGCCCAGTAAAGTCGTGGGTTTTTTTTCTCAAGAAGTGGAGCTTTTTGCAGTT